TTCTCTATCTTATGTGAAAAATGACATCTTATCAGTAACCTTAGAATGTACACAGTGAGCTTCCTAAAACTCTGAGTGATAGTATCCCTCCATTGAGGTACTTGGTAGAATGTAAGGGAGGGGCAGGCTGGACTGGATGAAAGAAGGTGAAGGAATTAACCAAAGCACATATATACATAACCCAGACACAGACAACAATGTGGTGATGGCCAGAGGGAAGGGTGGCTGGGTGGAGGTGGGAAAAGGAGGGAATAGGAACATCTGTAATAGAGCCAACAATGAAAATAAAGTTAAAAAAAATAAACCCAAGATACTCTGGGTGGGGAAATAATAACCAAAATACTTCCACCAGGTGTAATAGCATTTCTCTTTGCTAATATGCTTTAATTTAGTGTGGTTGATATTTTATAATAAGTGAGGAGAGAAGTGAACTGAACACCCTTCAAGCAAGCTAAATACTGTTTCTCTCAGACTAGTGTTTGGATGGTGGTGAATCTATACTGTATCCTTTGGAGGTTGAAAAGTGGGACTCCTCTGTGCTGCTACTGGCTTATGAAATAGCACGCCTTCATAGCGAGTGGAGAACATGTTAGTTTAACATCCTTTAAGAGAAATTGAGTTTCTTCTGAAGTACATGTGCCTAAAGACAGGGATGCCCTCTTTCATCTTAGCTCACAGACAGTATTGAGGTACTTCCTAGGAAATAAGTTTGAATGACTTCTCATTTACAGGATAAGCGGATGATCCACTGCCCTACTGATCTGCTCTATAAATCACATCCACAGAAAGTTTATCCTGGAAAAGCATTATAATATATGTATAACTAGCTACTTATCTTTACCATAAAAATACTTCAACACCTAATCATTGAATATATATTTTGGGGTTATTTTCTGACTTATACTTTCCAGTATTATATTCCTTAAGATAAAGTATTTGGGAAATGTATTCCAAAGCAACTGATTGAGAAGTCTTGCCTTGTAGTCTTATTTAAGAGTTAAAGAGATAAAGTGTGTCTGCCAAAACCAGTTTGGCTCAGTGGATAGAGCATCGGCCTGCGGACTGAAGGGTCCCGGGTTCGATTCCGGTCAAGGGCATGTACCTTAGTTGCAGGCATATCCCCAGTGGGGGGTGTGCAAGAGGCAGCTGGTCGATGACTCTCTCTTATCGATGTTTATAACTCTCTATCTCTCTCCCTTCCTCTCTGTAAAAAATCAATAAAATATATTTAAAAATAAAAAGAGTTAAAGTGTGGCTACAAAAAATAATAACATAAATGCAGCACACTGTGTATGCTTTCTTTATAGCAATAGTTAACCAGTGGAATTCAGATCTTTTAGATTCTTCAGTTGCTCCTAGAATAAATAACTTGTTTTTAAATTTTTAAAAAATTATTCACCTCACTAAGCTCTTGATTTTTTTTAGGCTACACAGTAATCAAAGCCCTATCTAATGTTAGTTGAATAATTATGACAAATGAAATACTTCAGAACGATGCCAACAATAGAATTCACAGACTTATTACTCTCATCTGTAAAGTGCATGTATTGAGCAAAATAATGCCCAGTTTGTTTTTGTTTTCAGTTCTTGGATTTCTTTGATTGATTTTCTGGAAATCAAGTAATTGCATGGTTTGCAGCATTCTCATCTGTATGCTTTCATTTTTCTAAATTACTTGTGATTTCTTAATAGTGGAGATGGCCTTCTAATCAAGAGTCAGTTGATCAATTCACCAACCAGTTCTTTTTGAGGACTCATGATAGGTCATGGCAACTAAAATAATAATAAGAATTTATTGATTAGATGTAATTTTTCTGTCTCTTTCTTTTGCTTTAACTGAACTGCTGTTTCTGAAAGTATAGTCTATTATATTAAACAGCAGTTCAGTTAAAGTTTTGTTCCACCAGAATTTATGTGTGATTCTGTTATGCCTAAGTGTCATAAACCCCAAAGACTACCAGGGAGCCGAATCCGATGCAATTGCAGAAAGCATGTATTTATTTCGGGCTAGTCCGAACTTAGTCTCACTTATACCAATGAGGGCATGGTGAGAAAGAGGAAGAACTTAACATATCAATGGGTTTTATAGGGAGGGTGGTGCTGCTACCTTGGCTGACCTGATTGGTTGGGTTAGGCCTAGTGTCCAGTTACCTGGAGCTGGACCCGCCCCACCCTGCCCTCTCACCCTGCCTGCCCTCTCGCCCTGCCCTGCCCCCTCAATCCGCCCTGCCCCCTCACCCTGCCCTGCCTTCTCAATTCCATGAACTCATACATGATTTCGTGTGATGCATACAAAGCCTACTCCAGATCTACCTGAACAGAAGTACTGTAAATTGTGGAAATTAGGCATGGTAAAATCTCATGATCATTGTCCTAGAATTCAGAGCTTCTCAGATTTTAATGTGCATACAAATTATCTAGAAATCTTGTTTAAAATGTAGATTCTTTTTTAGTAGGTCTAGAGTGGGGCCTGAGAGTCTATGAATCGAAGGAGAAAATGGACTTCAACATATGCTTCTCTTTAAAAAAAAAATTGCAGCGACTAATAAAATCTAGTCTCCTTAGCTCGGATAGTACCAAATCCTATATATACACTATGGTCTTGTGTGGGGTTTTTTCCAGAGAATTTAAAAGGTTTGTCCCACCACATCTTTCTAACCTTACTTCCCATAGCTTTCATATACAGCCTTCTTCTCAAGTAGGACTGGTCTCCTTACTGGCTTGGAAAACGCTATGTCCATTTCAACACGGTGATATTCATGATTCTACTCATTGTCTCTTTTGCTGGGTACCTATGTTAAAGTAAACCCTCACTGCTGAGAATAGTCTTGCAGCCCAAAACAGTCACTTTTCTACAGGCTGCCTTTCTTCCGATGGTTGCCTCTTTCTGGGCAGGACTGAAAAATCTATAAATGTAACTCCCTGACTGCAAATGCATTTTACAGCTCACTACCATTATCTGACACTCTTATTCTCAGTGACCTTACAGTTCTTTGTGTGTGTGTATTTGTACTTAAATGTCCTTATAGAGTCCTTCAATTCACTGCATCTAATTAGCAATCAAAAGAAAGCTGACTGTGAAGACTCCAGACCCTGTATAATCACTTCTTAATGATTGGTTCTACCTGTACTTATCATCTTAGTTCCCATTTATTCACTATGTTTCTTCCTCTGGTGTGATCTCATGCCCCATACATTGGACATTAATTGTGACTTTGACTAATAATCTCTTGGCTTGCTCTTGGATTTGGAGTAACTGCAGAAACTACACCATTTAGAACTTTTCTATGCACTAGCTTTCTTTATAACCTCCAATAAAATCTGTCTGCTGAGCAGGACAATTGTCAAGGAAAATAAACCACAGCGTCCACATGCTTATAAAGTTGATAAATAAATGCAGGAGGAATGATGCCTAGCAACTACTGCTGAATACTACGAGGAACCATTGCATTCACTTTCCTCGCAAACTTCTCAGTGGGAGAGAATAAAAGTTTGTAATTCTACAGGAGATAAGTTGTTTAAAAGATATTAAAAGCTTTGTTAGTGCAGTATAGTAGCAACTATATTTGGGTAAAAATTGCTGTTTGAATTTTAACCCTGCTATTCTGGCTTTGGCACTTGCTTACTTACTTAAACAATAGGGTACTTGACTCATTGAGATTGAGACCTGGATGCTATGGCAATTTTCCTGTGCCTGTGGACCAGAACTACAGGACTCAGTAGCTCCAGGAGTAGAAAATGTAGATAACCTTTAGAGATGAATACCTCTAACCTTTAGAGATGAATAACCTTTAGAGATTAGTAACTCTGCTTGATTCTGCTCCTGTAAAAATTGCTTTTGCAAGATAGGGCCACATTCCAACGTCCAGCAGGATGTGGCTGGGAACGACCCTGCGAGCAGTTCCCAGCCTTTAGAATTTAGAATTTAGAACAAAGGAAAATTTTTGTGGTTTAGACCTTTAAAGGACTGCCTCCACCTGGAACGGAGCGGTCGCGAGATGAATTCCACTTGTGTGTGGTGCTCTTGCGGTCATCCTGCCAGTTCAGTAAATCCTCGCCTGCTTTTTTAATGTATTAGCAGCCTCCGGTGGTCTTATTTTGACTCCAGGGTTTGACCCCACAACAGTTAGCAAATTAAATAGCTCTACATATAGTACTGAAAGAAGTTTGGCAGTTGAGATATGTTTCCAAATTATGACACTTAGAAGAGGAGTGATAATGCAAATCTGATTTCAATTCTGTCAATTTTAGCTTGTTAACCAACTTTTGAGATGGAATCATTCAATTCCCTCAGATTAAATTTGCCATTTTGTCTTTAAAAGATGAGATCAGAAATAGAAATAATCTTCAGACAGATCTCAGAGGGGAAGAAGAGGGGAGGAACTGGAAGAGATTAGCCAAAGAACATACATGATTATATCCATAGCCCATGGACACAGTGCGGTGAAGGCTTAGGGGTTGGGGAGGGTGGGGTGGAAGGGGCAAAGAAGAATCTGGGGACATCTTTAATACTGTGAACAATAAAAAAGTAAAAGAGATAATCTTCAGAAGTTCTTGGTAGGTGACACATAAATACTGGTGTTGATGGCCCAGTGTTTATTATTTACCCCTGCCCTGCCTTTCGGCCCACTCCTGGGTATTGGTTCTCCCAAGTCAGAGATCAGAGGCAATTCCATGTTTTGTTTTATTTTCTTTCCTCCCTCAAGGAACACGCTATTTGTCAATCTGTGAAAGCACAACCTCCAGGAGACTGGAAACTTTGAGAACTCTGAGCTACTGGCAAGACTCTTTCTATTTAACTCACATAGTTTCATTTTTCTGCTTGAAATAAAGGACTGTTTATTTAAGTGTTAATCCACATAATTCCACATTGTCCTTCAGTTGAAGCTATGGGATATGCATTCACACTCTAATCAGCAGAGGATGTTTTAAAGTGATGAGGCAGCATTATTTCTAAGGGTTTTGCAGAGTTCTCTTACAGCGTTTCTTTTGTATTTAAGGTGACGACCCTTGTTAACACCAGCAACAAAGGCCCATCAGGGAAGAAGAAAGGGCGGTCAAAGAAAGCCCATGTCCTGGCTGCATCTGTAGAGCAAGCCACTCAGAACTTCCTGGAAAAGGGGGAGCAGATCGCTAAGGAGAGTCAGGACCTCAAAGAAGAACTGATCGCTGCTGTGGAAGATGTGCGCAAGCAAGGTAGGCAGGCAAATCCTGTACAAGAAGGGTGTGCATGAATGTGTAAACCAGGGAGTGTTATCTAGAATCAATGCATATTTGCTCAAAAGAGACATCTTATCTATCCCCCTCTGTATCTGCACTTGTCTTTTTAAATATTTGGTAGAGTTAGGCCCATAGACAAATAGAGCTGCTTTTTGCCATGACAGAACAGCACAGGTGCACTCCAAAGCTGCCTTGGCTTTAAAGTCTTTGGTTGTTTTCTCTCAATAGATGAAAATAAACTCTGTGTTAGTTCAGTCTTTTTTTAAAAAAATATTTTATTGATTTCAGAGAAGAAGAGGGAGAAAGGGAGAGAGAGATATAGACATCTCAATGATGAGAGAGAATCACTGATCAGCTGCCTCCTTCACTTCTCACACCAGGGACCAAGCCCGATTAGGGCATGTGTCCAGACCAGACATTGAACCTTGACCTCCTGGTTCATTTCTCAACTGAGCCAAGCCTCTGGGCTCAGCTCAGTCTTTAAGGAAAAAAAGGATGAGCAGACCTTATGCTGATAAGAGTCAACAAATGCCAGGATTGTAAGGATGAAGTGAGGAAAGGAATAAAGTCCTATAATATATCATTGTTGCTTGTATTATTCTAAAGTTGCTATTTCAGGTCACAGCTTGCCTCAAAAAGTAGCTAGTTGGTTATTGATAGATTCATCAATTATATAGTAGCTAAGTAGTTAGCTAAAATACTATCTATTCACCATGTTAAAAAGTTTTTAGGCCAAAACCAGTTTGGCTCAGGGGATGGAGCATCAACCTGTGGACTGAAAGGTCCCGGGTTCAATTCTGGTCAAGGGCATGTATCTTGGTTGTGGGCACATCCCCAGTAGGGCATGTGCAGGAGGCAGCTGATCGATGACTCTCTCATCGATGTTTCTAACTCTCTATCCCTCTCTCTTCCTCTCTGTAAAAAAATCAATAAAATATATTTTTTAAAATGTTTTTAGGTGTTATAAGATACACAAAATAAACTGTATGGCTTACCTGTTTTTAAGTGTACACTTCAGTAGTATAAATTATAGTCTCATTGTTGAGTAACTAATCCCCAGAATGCTTTCATTTTGCAGCACTGAAACTCTAACCCTATTAAGCAAAACTCTCCCTTGTCCTCTCCCCCTATCTCCAGCAACCACTGGTCCCTAGGCTACTTTCTCAAAGCATTTATCTACTCGGCATCTTTAATTGACAATTCTAAGGCATCATGAAATCAACAGAAATTGTCTCCCTAGCCTGGCCTCCCTCCTGCATTGTTTATCTTGTGAATGCCACACACATGTATCCAGTGGCACATTGCAAAAATCTTTGTGTTATACTGTCATTTCTCTCTCTTTCCAAATGCAATCTGTTAGAAAGTCTCATAGGTTTCAACTACTAACTATTTCTTAAATGGATCAATTCCTGTTTTAGTTAATCAAAGGACTACATTTCAGCTGCCTTTATACATGCTGTTTCCTTTCACACAGTTGAAGAAGAAAGGAAAGGAAGGAAAGAAAGGAAAGGAAGGAAAGGAAGGGAAGGAAGGGAAGGAAGGGAAGGAAGGGAAGGAAGGGAAGGAAGGGAGGAAGGAAGGAAGGAAGGAAGGAAGGAAGGAAGGAAGGAAGGAAGGAAGGAAAGGAAAGGAAAGGAAAGGAAAGGAAGGAAGGAAGGAAGGAAGGAAGGAAGGAAGGAAGGAAGGAAGGAAGGAAAGGAAAGGAAAGGGAAGGGAAGGGAAGGGAAGGGAAGGAAGGAAGGAAGGAAGGAAGGAAGGAAGGAAGGAAGGAAGGAAAGAAGGAAATTAGTTAGCTGGTTGGTTTACATCCGTTAAAGTAATATTTTAGAAAGATTAATTTGGCAACTTCATTGAAAGTTGACCAAGTCAGAGAAGGCTGGATTCAGACATTGTTTGGGTATTATTTTAATATTGCAGAGGGGGGGAAAAAACCACAAAACAAAGAAATAAAAACACACACAAACAAACAAACAAAAAACAAATCAGAACAAAATACTTCAAAGATCTAGGATTAGGTTTGTGGCAATGGGAACAGAAATTAAGACACTAGATATTGCAGGCATTGCAGAAAGGAATAAAAGATGTGCTGTTTGTTGAAGGGAAGAGACTAGTCAATATTGATTGTGTGTTTTTGCACTGGACAAGTTAATTGGGGTATTTTAAGAGGTGACAGGGGTGGGAAGAGAGGATCAGTTTGATTTTTAAACATTGATGAATAGAGGGAAACTGGCTCATAGATGGGTAAAGCTAGGGGATAGAACTTTGGGAAAACAGAAATTTTGAAACTCTGTAGTTGATAAATGAAGCTTTCAGAGACTGAGCTTTCTGTGAGTACTTGCCAATAAAGAGAGAGAGAAGAATAGAGGGATGTGGCTTTAATTTTTGGGGGAAAGGCCAAAAAAGATGAGAAGGTAGAATAGAAATTAATTAGATAGAGAAGACACAGCCTGAAATGTGACCAGAGAGCCAAGCATACTGAGTGCTGAAATTCAAGGGAATATGTGTAAAGGAGCAGTGATCAATCTAGACTCCAGAGTGTGTTGTAATTATGTCAAATTCTTCTGAGAGCGTGGAGGATGAATAATGAGAAAACGCCTTGGATTTTGCTAGGTAGTTGTCATTAATTATATTTAAAAAGTACACTTTTAGGAAAATGCAATGACAATTGCTACATAGAAAGAAGGTAGATGCTGAAAAAACAGAGTAGATAGTGGCAGGCAGGATGTACACAATAAAAGGAAGTGTACCCATCATTGGTCATCACTGCACTATATATTATACTGCAGGTATTTCTTTTTGCCCCTACAGACGGTGAGGTTCAAATGAGCAACTACATGTTATAATTATTTTGTGTATCACTGAAGCCTGGTTCAATGGCTGGCATAGTGAGCAGCACTCAATACATGACTCATGAGATTTGTCACAGATGGAAGGAGAGAAATAGGAGAGTAATAAGAGACACATTAAGGACAAGCAAAGCATATGATTGCTTGCTTGCTTGTTTACTTATTTTGTCCAACTCAAATCAGAGCATAGATCAAGGTAGGGGGCCAATGCAGAGAGCAATTGTACCATAGATACAGCGGGAGAAAGCTCAGGTGGGTGGCCTGAGGTGATGTAGGCAGATGGAACATTTCTTTATCTAGAAAACTGGTAGGGACAAAAGATTACCCAGCGGTGGGTTTATAGAAAACAAGATAACTGCAGCAGATTGAATGGAATTTTTCTCAAATATTTTGAACAAAAGAGGAGGTAATTTTAATTATTTATTTATTTATTTATTTATTTATTTATTTATTTATTTTAATATATTTTATTGATTTTTCACAGAGAGGAAGGGAGAAGGACAGAGAGCTAGAAACATTGATGAGAGAGATGCATTGACCAGTTGCCTCCTGCACACCCCCAGCAGGGATGTGCCCACAACCAAGGTACATGCCCTTGACCAGAATCAAACCTGGGACCCTTGAGTCCGCAGACCAACACTCTATCCACTGAGCCAAACTGGTTTCGGCAAGGAGGTCATTTTAATGGACCAAGGAATATCTGATTTTTGTCCACTATTGCAAATTTTTTTTAATGTTTTCTTGTCTGGTATTTGCATCTGTGTGTGTCTGGTATATATTTCTAAAGAATTTTATTTATTGAATTTTACTGACTGATATGCTTTCCTTCAGTACAATTAAAAAAGGCAATTTATAACAGGCTTTATTGTCCAGGAATTTTTTTTTTTTTTATCTAATTGGTTTATTTGGTGTGTAACAGTGTTTGCCGGCAATGGGATGCTCACACACTATCTTTATGAATCTTCTTAGTTTGAGAGCAGATCCAAAAGCTGTCCTTTGACAGACAGGCACTGTTCTTCATGTGTATTCAATTAGCAGACTCATTTAATGATGTAACAGGATGTAACAGCATTTGGTTTGATGTTATCTCATTCTTATGGTCCCACGTCCTATTTCTTGAGCCATGGAACAGTTGCCGGGGTTTCCTATCTTCAGTCACCAACCTTCTCTGATTGCCCACTCTCCATCTGGTACATAGTGTTTAATTGTTTAGTTGTAATAGTGTTTCATCAAAACAGTTAAGTCATGGCCCAGCTATCAAGACAAGATGTGCCAGTCCAGGATGTAGACAGAGAGGTACATGGGCCTAACCCTACTTTCAGAGGAATCTCATGGAACAAAGTGACAAGGAAGTACAGATAAACGAGGTAGCTTTTTGGTGGAACCATTTCCTCAATCAAAGATATGGTCAAACCTTCAGTGCTCATTTAGACTTTGTCTTGCTACAATCTCAAAAGTGGCATGAAATAGTGATATCAACTAGTTCTATTATTGTTATATTTTTACCCAATCACTATTTATTGAGTGACTGAGGACCAGTGGGCCAAGATAGACAGAACAGGACTGAGTATAAATAGAGGGAGAGAGAACAGTGTTCTCACATCTCTGAGAAGAGATTAAACGTATGCCTCCTGGTGACCTGGTGGCCTCCTCCCTCCCTGCCCATTTAGTGGTGTTGATGGAATGAGCTGGTCCAACAGGAACTCCAGTTAAAGTCAGTTGTGTGAACTCCCCAGCTGAGACCTGATCAGAGGCCAGGGCCTGTCCAAGAAGCTTCTGCTGTCACAGTCCAGCATCCCTATCAGAGCTCCACAGTGGGAGGACACGGAGGGGAGTGCCCTCTCTCCTGCAGCACTTTCCACAGGGGTCAGCCTCTCCGAGGAGGAGCGGTGAGGGTGCTGAAAGGATTCCTCTGCTCCTCTGCTAGTTCTTTTTCTCAAGTATCCCCCACTTTATGCCTCCACTCTTCCCATCCTGAATGCTTGCATCTCCTAGAGATGTGGGACCTCCTTTTATGTACTGTGCTGCAGACTGACTGCCCTGGTACAGATATGTTAACTGTGTTTTGAGGTGGAGTTCTATTCATCGTGGGGTGAGGTTTCGCTCCAATTGGGTGAGCAGGTCTCCATT